ACACAACGACAGCCACAAGATGTCCATGGGAGCCCATCAAACTTCAATTTTGAAGCCCCACCAAGGACGTTTGACGACTGCAGACTGCTGGAACCAGCTGCAGAACAAGGACTAGCGATCAGCCCACAAGGCCTGCTAGAAGATGTGGTGCCTTTGATGATTCGCAATCCCTCTGCCACCAATGTCTCTTCCAATACCACTTCTTCTTGTTCGTCTTACCGTTCACCTCCCACTTCACCATCTTCTTTGTCCTGGTCCCCTGGTTATTCACCTTTGTGTTTTGATATGGGCTTGCATTCAATTTAATATTATGAGTTTTTATTAGGTGAAGGTGTACATTTTAGTGGTTTATAATTATAAAGTATTAATGTATTTTTATTTTGATGTGAACAAAATAATGTTATTATTATTAATAGTGCCAATCAAGTTAACTTTTATATAATAGATTTTATAATTAAGTAATACTCAAATAGAGAAGCTCCAACTTTATTAAGAGGTTTTCTTGATTCGCTGAGATTTAATCAAATAATAAATATCTTCCTAAGATTTCAAAAATAAATTCTACTTTCCGTAAATTATTGGTTATGTGTCGCCGTTTATTTTAACATCAAAAGATTAACGGTAAGAGAAATTATGATGTTTTTATAACCACGTAGGGATTTTTGTTATTCAAGTATAACCAAAAGGATTATGTTATTGACGCATTTATTAATAGATAATAAAGCTTGGGATCTTGAAATGAAATTAACAGCTAGAAATTGGACAAGGAGAGGGGATTTAATAGAACGGTTTTGAAATTTTTAAATTTTTAAATTTTGGGAAGAGAGTGGGAATATGGGGGATGTATAATGGTGACGGCATGGGTGGAGTTACGGATTTAAGATCGTGTGGTGACAGCTAGCGGAATCTTTTTTGGATACGTGGCGAGAAATCAGTGCTGATTATGTCTACGTGGTCAGGATGGCCCACCTCCCACCCGTTTTTATCGTGGTTCAAATGTGGCGGCGCCAATTTCAGTCGTGTTTGCGCGGGAAAATATTGGGGCGCTGAATTGCTTTCATTGGGCCTTGACGTGACTATTATTGGGCCGACCTGAAATGATCTCAAGCCCATATAAAAACCAACCAACCTTGTATTTCTTGTGCCCCTCTCCACCCATTTCGTTTCTAACATTCAACAAGGTCCGAATTAAGAACCAAACGGATACCAGCAGTACGCTATCCATTACCCATTTATTAGTTCAATCAAAAGAGATAAAGACAAACCAACCTTGGTGATCAAATGGTTGATAGGAACTTTTGGATATTACTCAATATTTTTCTGAGTTCGGTTTCTCTTGGTTGCTAATTAGGATGGTTACTGAAACTTATCTGACCAATAGTCTAGAGTCTTAAGAGAATAATTGAGGCACATATAAATTGGTTCGACACTCTTTACTCATCGATAATTTCAAAATCTGAAAGATTAGTTAAGGTATATGTAAACTGACCTAACAGCCCTGATCTCTTAATTCTTACGGAACTGAGATTCCATTACCAACCATTACGCGAAATTTCTAAGAAAGTAAAATGAAACGAAAGTCCTACAATTGTACATACCGAGCTTGACCAACCTAAAAGGTCCCACCTGGCCTGTCCATATTTTTTAGAGGTTATGATGGGTTGGTTGCACCGTCATTTCATTTTCTAGGATCAAAGGCTCGCCGTGGCTACCGGACGGGGACAGCTCGAACCGCTCCATTCTCCACACGTGAAAGTCAACACAGAGTGGGGTCCATATTCAACGTGTCACCCAATCACACGCAACTTGACCATACCCTAATAAAGGGTTGACTTTTGAGAAACGTCCATAAGGATTGGTCTTAATCACCCCCTCCCCCACTTCACTAACCGACGCACCTTCCTGTTAGACCTAACCCACTCTGACAGTCAACTCTACCCAGCCATTCAGCCACCCTTTGTCTCTATCGGCGGGCCATGGTGGTTTTCTAGGATTCACAAAGTCAAAGCCACATGCTTACAAAACTTCCCTCACTTTGAAGTAACCTCTCAGTAGCATCATCTTTGTTGCAGATTAATTTCTATTTCTAAATGCTTGTACATTTCATATCTGCTGACTCCATTAAAGACCATTGGATATTGGTTGTCCATTTCTGCACATGCTATCTTCACTATTGCCTCAAATTTTGACCCACCCCACCTCATTTTTGGGTAAATACGAAGCTTAATTGAATTTTACCGGCCTTTAAAGAATTTTGTGACACATGTTCACACTTCAGAGATGACTTGTTCATTAATTCTGGTTTGATTAGTGGATGTTAATGTGTGTAAGCGTATCATTCATGACAACTGTTTGTTTCTTCTTATAGCGACTCTAAGCTTCTTCGGAGAAGCTTTTTGCCAAATTCAACCAATTACAGGTGGTTCTTATGAAATTAATAATAATGCATGCAGAAAATGTAGTTGGGTTCTCATTTGTTAAGGATTAATATGTGCTAATTTCTTTCCTTCACTCAAAGTCTTAATGCTGAATAATTAATATATGACAACAGCCTCACCTAGGTAGCCCATCATTAATATTCCCATAGACTTCTAATTATATTATACCATGAATTAATCTAATAATACATGCTCAACTGCCTTGAAGATAATTGTTAAGAAGAGAATGATAGTTGCAGATACAGACTTGAACATATTCAAAGGCATATATATTTTATACATTCTTTAGTGGTTGACTCTTGCGCTTCTTCTTCTATTGCAAGAAAACAATAAGAGGGGTGAAAAAATGGGATGTAGACCTCTTCTCTGTATGTTTTCTATTTCCTGACAAGACAGTTAATACAGTTTACACAAGTTTTTCCCATTTCAGTTTTGATGTTTGCTCTCATCCAGTCCTTCAGACTTTTCATTATTATTCTAAACTCCTGCTCCTTCAAGCAATATTTCTAAACTCCTGCAATTTCTTATTATTCTAATGGGTTTACCATTTTCATTATGATAAACTAATTACTCTTAATTAAAAAAAATGTTATGTTTACAACTCAATCTCACAATTTTCTCTTATGTGGCAACAAATAGACATTGTCACGTGACTCACGTCATCTCTTACCATACCAAGGTACCCAAGACACTGCTAGAAATAAAAGGTTGTTCTTTCAGAAGGAACAGTTGTTCCTTCATAAAGAATGAATGTTCCTTAATGAAGGAATGACCATACCTTAAGGAATGAAGGTATGATCATTCGTTTAAGGAGGTATGGCCATTCCTTATGAAGGAATAGTCATACCTTTGTTAAGGAACAGTCATTCCTTATAATGGTCATGCTGTTCCGTAAGAAAGGAATGGTCGTTCCATAAGGAAAGAACAATTGTTTCCTACGAAGGAATGATCGTTTCTTAAGTCTAATTAAAATCATTTTTTGTCTTAGCTGACGTAGCAGTGTCAACTCGACTGTCACATTGGGATTGTAAGAGAAGTTTGTGAGAATAGGTTGTGGATATAACATTACTCTTACTGTTAATATATATGTTGAAGCATTTTAGGGTTAAGGAAAAAAGAGCAGTACTACATTTACAACCTTTTTCATACAACACTGATATGACAATTCGTAATTGATTAATTTGCAATAGGTTTCGCTTGCGTAAATGCAAGCTAACCAATCACGAGTTACCATATTAGGGTTTATAAAAGGATTGTATGAAAAAGTTGCAAGTATAGTTTTATTGAAAAGAAAAATAAGGGATTAATTTTGGGAGTTGTATCTTAACAGAGGAGATTAGGAAAGTAGGTAGTTGCTGGAAAGACAGTTTTAATGTACTCTGTGAGTAGTTCCTACTTCTCTTTAACATTAAAATTGATTTACAAGCGTTCAAAATTGGCACTTTCCTCCAACTATTTTGTCTTTCAAACTAAGAAAAAACACAACAGTTTCTTCACCATATTATATGATTTTCATGCAAGCAACGTTAAATTATCTACTACAAAAATCAATAGTGGTTTTACGTCCATTCTTAGTTCCCATCAATCACTTCCTTCTGGAACTTGTTGGAGACTGTGAACCCAAACAAAGCCGAAGAAAGCGTGGAAATTCAGCTTGAGAAGAGAGAAATAAGAGTAATGTTCAAGACCGTTTGATACGTAAATTAGTTCTTCATCATCATCATCATCATGCAGTTTCTCTCTTACCAACTGGCGTTACTGGTTGCAAGAGAAGGATGTGCCATCAAACGTTTTGCCACGCCTGAAAATGACTGATATCTGCCCATTTTCCCCCATAGGGTTCAGATATCGTTTTTACAGGCCCTGATTCAACGGGTGGTCTCGTCTAAGCTTGTAAACTTAAATTCAAAGTCACTATAGTATTGGTTCATAATTTGACCGAAGCTGAAGGGTTTGTTGAATATGAAATCGTTCCTGCTGTGTCTCCTTACAAATTAACAATTGGTACATGTTTGATGCTCATATTACACCTTTATTCAAACCTCTAATTATAATAAATAAATTTATTTTTTTCAACAATGGACTGTTCATGTCAGTTTATCCACATTTTAACTAATTTGTTAAATAAGAGTATGTTTTTTTTTATATATTTATTCCCGTTTTTCTATTTTATAAAACTTAAAATACGTTCTTAAATTCAGTGCCAGTTTGAAACTCGTGTCTAAAATTTTAATCTAAAAATTTTATGGTTCATAGGATTCCAGTTTCGTTATTATTTTATTTCTGAGTTCTGACGAAGTTAGGTAGCCGTATGAGGTTAAAGGCTGCCGCAACAATATTCAAATCACAGCCGTGGCCAGGTAATCATTGCCTGACAGCGGAGGAATCTCACAACAATTTCAAAATCAAAAAAATAAAAACAAACACATAACATAATCTGTTCTATTCCATAGAAGAGAAATGAATTAATCTTTCAATAACAAATTACTTCCTTCACTACTAAGTACTAACCATCTCACTAACAAATTATTTACACTACCAAGAGAATAAGAGAAAACCAACCATAACGATACCGGAAACGCTAAGTTAAGCGCAAGCTTGCCTCCTTACTGGCATGGCAAACAGAGCATCAAGATCAGGTGGCTGAAAATAACCGTTCTTGGGCGGGTCACGCTTTTTTTCAACCATTGATTTCTTCCTTGGAGGTGGTGGACAAACAGACGCCGCGGGGATCCTAAGCTTCGGAGTTGTGCAACCTTCTTCTTCTTCCATTCTCAGCCGTTGGGGGAAACACGTACACGGAGCTTGGGATCTTGAAATGAAATTAACAGCTAGAAATTGGACAAGGAGAGGGGATTTAATAGAACGGTTTTGAAATTTTTAAATTTTTAAATTTTGGGAAGAGAGTGGGAATATGGGGGATGTATAATGGTGACGCTGGCCACTGGGTGGAGTGTACGGGATTTTAAGATCGTGTGGTGACAGCTAGCAGGGAATCTTTTTTGGATACGTGGCGAGAAATCAGTGACTGATTATGTCTACGTGGTCAGGGATGGCCCACCTCCCACCCCGTTTTTATCGTGGTTCAAATGTGGCGGCGCCAATTTCAGTCGGTGTTTGCGCGGGAAAATATTGGGGCGCTTGAATTGCTATTCATTGGGCCTTGATCGTGACTATTATTGGGCCGACCTGAAATGATCTCAAGCCCATATAAAAACCAACCAGACTCTTGTATTTCTTGTGCCCCTCTCCACCCATTTCGTTTCTAACATTCAACAAGGTCCGAATTAAGAACCAAACGGATACAGCAGTACGCTATCCATTACCCATTTATACTAAGAGATAAAAGACGAAACCAACCTTGGGTGATCAAATGGTTCGATAGGAACTTTTGGATATATTACTCAATATTTTCTGAGTTCGAGTTTCTCTTTGGTTGCTAATTAGGATGGTTACTGAAACTTTTATCTGACCAATAGGTCTAGAGTCTTAAGAGAATAATTGAGGCACATATAAATTGGTTCGAACACTCTTTACTCGATCGATAATTTCAAAATCTTGAAAGATTAGTTAAGGTATATGTAAACTGACCTAAACAGCCCTGATCATCTTAATTTCTTACGGAACTGAGATTCCATTACCAACCATTACGCGAAATTTCTAAGAAAGTAAAATGAAAACGAAAGTCCATACAATTGTACATACCGAGCTTGACCCAACCTAAAAGGTCCCACGCTGGCCTGTCCATATTTTTTAGAGGTTATGATGGGTTGGTTGCACCGTCATTTCAATTTTCTAGGATCAAAGGCTCGCCGTGGCTACCCGGGACGGGGACAGCTCGAACCGCTCCATTCTCCACACGTGAAAGTCAACACAGAGTGGGGTCTCAATATTCAACGTGTCACCCAATCACACGCAACTTGACCATACCCTAATAAAGGGTTGACTTTTGAGAAACGTCCATAAGGATTTGGTCTTAATCACCTTCCCCTCCCCACTTCACTAACCGACGCACCTTCCTGTTAGACCTAAGCCCACTCTGACAGTCAACTCTACCCAGCCATTCAGCCACCCTTTGTCTCTATCTGCGGCGGGCCATGGTGGTTTTCTAGGATTCACAAAGTCAAAGCCACATGCTTACAAAACTTCCCTCACTTTGAAGTAACCTCTCAGTAGCATCATCTTGTGTTGCAGATTAATTTCTATTTCTAAATGCTGCTTGTACATTTCATATCTGCTGACTCCATTAAAGACCATTGGATATTGGTTGTCCATTTCTGCACATGCATATCTTCACTACTGCCTCAAAATTTTGACCCACCCCACCTCATTTTTTGGGTAAATACGAAGCTTAAATATGAATTTTACCGGCCTTTAAAGAATTTTGTGACACATGTTCGTCACTTCAGAGATGACTTGTTCATTAATTCTGGTTTGATTAGTGGATGTTAAGCAGTATCATTCATGACAACTGTTGTTTCTTCTTATAGCGACCTCTAAGCTTCTTCGGAGAAGCTTTTTGCCAAATTCAAGCCCAATTACAGGTGGTTCTTATGAAGAATTAATAATAATGCAAGCAGGAAAATGTAGTTGGGTTCTCATTTGTTAAAGGATTAATATGTGCTAATTTCTTTCCTTCACTCAAAGTCTTAATGCTGAATAATTAATAAATATGACAACAGCCTCACCTAGGTAGCCCAGCATTAATATTCCCATAGACTTCTAATTATATTATACCATGAATTAATCTAATAATACATGCTCAACTGCCTTGAAGATAATTGATTAAGAAGAGAATGATAGTTGCAGATACAGACTTGAACATAATTCAAAGGCATATATAATATTTATACATTCTTTAGTGGTTGACTCTTGCTTTTAGTTAATTAAAATGGGGTCACGAGTCAGGTAGATTTGGTCCACCTTTGATGCAACAATCCCATCAAAAACAATGTAAACAAAGACAAACTCAGCATCAAATGCAGATACAGACAATCCAACCAGGCAATGGATTTGTACTAGCTTCAACAACAGTAAAATCTTAAACAAACCATCTTCAAACGTTGGCTGCAGCTTGCTGTGAATCTTGATGCTAGATGCGAGTGAAGTAAAAAGTAATATGGTGGTGCCCCATTTTAGAGTTAACCAAAAGTGTAAACGTTGACAAGATTTGGAATTCTTAACAAGTCAAAATGGAATATAAAAATAATACAGTAACTCTCTGAATTTATTGTGAAGAAAGCACACACGTAGACGTCACAAATTCCTCCTCATCTACTCCACTCTCTCCTCTTTTTCATAAGCCTGCTGCTTCTTGTTCTTATACCCTTATCATTTCAGCTTCTTTAGTTTGACGCTTTCATCTGATGCACAGTTCGATTTAGTTTTCTTAAGGGTGATAATGGAGACAGAGAAGGCTTCTTCTTGGTTTGAAGATGAACTTGTAAGGGAACTTTTTGACGATGAAACTCCATTGTTTGTGCTACCGCAAGAGAATACTGAACCAAAGTCAAGTCCAGCTGCAAATGAAGAGACTGTTAATAGGCTCACTTCAGCCATCTATTCTGGCCCAACCATTGGAGATATCGAGAATGCGTTATCCATGACAACTCAAAAAGACCAATATTCCGAAGATCTTTCTCAAGCCAGGTTATTATTATTTCACAACATCTTTATTAAATATACCTCCGACTGCTGTCAGCTCTCATTCTAATACCATTTAAGTTTGATTTTCTTGCAGAATTTCATTGCTAGAAGGGGGTTTTGGTAAGCTTGATCACAAATACACTCTCAAAATCAAGAGCTTGGGCAATGGGATGGCTGATGATGGATATAAATGGAGAAAATATGGCCAGAAATCTATCAAGAATAGCCCCAATCCTCGGTAATTTGTTTTAACTCTTTTACTTCGTTATCGCTTAGCCCATTTTCCACATCATTTCATTTTCATGGCAGAAATATTACTGTATAAGATAATATGAATATCGGATGTGTGTGACTTCAGTGAGATAAAACGATTAAAACCACTTTATTCTTGTCCAATAAAGTTCACTGTCGTGATAAAATTATCATAAAATAATGGTTCACCAAATGCCGCAGTTTCCTCAGGAGTAATCTGCACTTGAAAGACAATTTGTTCGAGAGCATATAATGTCTCCAGATTTTACTAAAATATAAGGATTGAGATTATCGACCTGAGTTTTACATTATACTTATAAAACTTCAAGAAAACTTATATAAGGAGAGGTTCTTAATTCAAAAATAAACATTTATTTAGTAGTTACATAAACAGAAGACTAAAATTTTAGTTGGCTAAAGTTTCTCAAGATTCCAACCTACCTGGTATAAGCATTAATTTCTAATTAAACACTAGTGCTTTGTGACTCAGTGTCATTTATATTTAGTACTGTTTGAAGCTTATTACAATTACATATGTGGTGAACAGGAGCTACTACAAATGCACAAACCCAAGGTGCAGTGCAAAGAAGCAGGTGGAGAGGTCCTGTGAGGACCCAGAAACACTAATAATCACCTATGAAGGGCTGCATCTTCACTTTGCTTACCCATATTTTCAAATGAATCCACCAATGAAGAAGCAGAAAACATTAACAACCATTTCGCAAGTCAATTCCCAGCCTCAGGAAACACAACGACAGCCACAAGATGTCCATGGGAGCCCATCAAACTTCAATTTTGAAGCCCCACCAAGGACGTTTGACGACTGCAGACTGCTGGAACCAGCTGCAGAACAAGGACTAGCGATCAGCCCACAAGGCCTGCTAGAAGATGTGGTGCCTTTGATGATTCGCAATCCCTCTGCCACCAATGTCTCTTCCAATACCACTTCTTCTTGTTCGTCTTACCGTTCACCTCCCACTTCACCATCTTCTTTGTCCTGGTCCCCTGGTTATTCACCTTTGTGTTTTGATATGGGCTTGCATTCAATTTAATATTATGAGTTTTTATTAGGTGAAGGTGTACATTTTAGTGGTTTATAATTATAAAGTATTAATGTATTTTTATTTTGATGTGAACAAAATAATGTTATTATTATTAATAGTGCCAATCAAGTTAACTTTTATATAATAGATTTTATAATTAAGTAATACTCAAATAGAGAAGCTCCAACTTTATTAAGAGGTTTTCTTGATTCGCTGAGATTTAATCAAATAATAAATATCTTCCTAAGATTTCAAAAATAAATTCTACTTTCCGTAAATTATTGGTTATGTGTCGCCGTTTATTTTAACATCAAAAGATTAACGGTAAGAGAAATTATGATGTTTTTATAACCACGTAGGGATTTTTGTTATTCAAGTATAACCAAAAGGATTATGTTATTGACCCATTTATTAATAAATAATAAATTCTAACATATCAATTAAAAAAAATAGAACACAAGTTGAATAAAAATATATATTAGGAAAAAGAAGGGGCATCAAAACAAAATATTTGTGTGAGTAGACTTTTTTCTGCGTAATCAATTAAAAATAGAATTATGTTACTATAGGTGGCGTCTGATAAAAGAGTAAAAAGAGATTTTATAAGTTTTTGAGGTCAAATTCTCCTAATTATTAATAAAGGTAACCATTATTAAGGTTCTTATCCAACCGATAATTAAGCTGAATCGAACACCCTCAATGATTTAAAAAAAAAAAGTGAAAAAAAATAAAAGAGATTAAATGAAAGATCCATTCTAATATAAATCCAATTAAATAGATTTAGCTCGGTTTTTTTTTTTTTGCTCACATACTAACTTCTCTATAACTAACTCCATTAACTAATAGTTCATTAATTACTTGCTAATTACTAATTAAAGTTGATAAATTGACTCTAATCTGTCTAATTCAAACATCTTGTTGGACTATTTTCTATCTTAAGAAAATATTTCGAAATTTAATAATATAAAAAGTATATAGCACATACATAATGACCAAATTAACCCAAAATGAACCTCACCGTAATGCTAAATATGGGAGGGTGCATACGTAATTTAAAAAGATAACAGTTACCAATTCCGGTAACAAGCAATTCAAGTGTCAAAGACCAGGGGAATCTAACTTAATTATTTAAATCACCGTTCATGTCAAGTTTTATTCATTCCCTTTTCTTCTTCTGTATCGCAGTTCATTAGAATCTCTTAAAATTCTCTCATCAACCAAATAAAAGTTTTAAACTTTTCATGTTTCAATCGCCGATTTAATGATTTTCTCAAGAATCGGTGCCTCTGTTTCTCGCTCCACTCGTTCTACATTCCGAAAGGTATCGCTAATTATTATTTTCTTTTAATTTACAATTTATTTATTTATATGATTTTATTTTTATTGTTGCTAAGTTTTTGAATCTTTGTTTTTGCTTTTTAGAATGTGGTATCCGGTAATTATAACGCGAGGACTGCGTTATCGAACGAATCGATTTTGCCGTCGACGCCTCTCGGAAACGCGTGCATTTCACACGTTGGTGGAGGATTGAATCTTGCTAAAGGATTTTTTACGTCTGCTGGAGCCGGGAAACAGCTCGTTTCGAATACGTACGTGTCGAATTTGAATCCGTTTTTTGCAAACCCTAGGCTTCGGCGTTTTTTCTCAGGCGAAGCACCTAAGGAAAGAAGTAAGTGAAATTTATTTCTTTTATTAAATTCTTGTTTATTTATTTATTTTTCGGGTTTATCTGTTGATGTAATTTTATTTTTTGATGTTGTTTTATAATGGATTAATGTAGAGTATGAAAATTATTATCCAAAGAATAAGAAGGAAATCCCAAAAGCAAACGAACAAAAAACTGGGTCAAAAGGTATATCTCTCACGATTTAATTTGTGTTTGTATTTATTCATTTTTCTTTTTGTTTAGTTACTATTGTTGCTGGTAAATTTTGATGTAATAGATGCACTATTTTTATATTTGAAGGAGTAAATATTTATTTGATGAGAATATATACTTAGCATTTATTTTTTATTTCTTGAACTGTTCTTTTAATTGGAAGACTAGCCTGGAAAATGATTACTGGCAGGATTTGTTTCATTGGTGGGGTTTTGCATTCGATGAAATTTGAAGTTTCTGATATTCTTTTGGCAATCTTCCTCGCTCTCACTAACACATTCACATTCTGAGACATGCTGTGTGCTCACAGATATCTTGATTATTTTGTGGTTTGATTTTGAAGCGTGATAGTGATTATTGTACATTCTCTATTTTTGTCCTTCTGGTTTAATGAATTCCATGATTGGTTAGTTCATCTACTTTTTTTTTTTTTTTTCAGGGCTTTTAGTTGCATGGTTTGTGTACAGTTGCTTAAGATGTTGAGAATGGTCTATTGTATGATTAATTGTTACACTTTCTGATGATCTATCTTCTAGACGAACTCTAAAATGCATTGGTCAGGTTTTGTTTTAGTAGAATTCTTACGTTGCTTTATCATATATGAATTAAGCACTTATATGTTTCTTGGTGATACAAAATGCTTTCGATATCTCTGTAAACAGAAGCATCTCTCCAGAGAAGTTATCAACTGTCTATGGTCAATAAAAAATTTTGGAGGGATCAATTTTGTTTTGCTCTTTCCATGACAAATTGGATGCATTGATTGTCAAAATCTACTTCTTTTCATACCTGTATGTTTTGATCATGCTTCATTTCCTGATTGAAGCAAAATACATTCTCTATCTGTGCATTCTTCTTCATTTTGTTGTTTGCGTGCTATGAATTTACCAAGGAGCTTACATTGTTTTCTTTTTTGTGCCTTTTTAGAGGACTCAGGTGCTGGTGATCAAGGGAATTTTCAGAACTTCACTAAGCAGTTTCAAAATATGATCAGTCCTTTATTTTTTATTGGCTTTGTGTTAGCATCAATGCTTTTTACTCCAGAGCAGCAAAAGGAGGTAAGCATTTTTTCCGTACTCTCCACCAGTAATTCACTGTTTTTCTGGAGATAATAGATTGTTGAAGTCAGCATCAATGGCATGCTGTAGCTGAAATATAGCAGTCTAGTAATGTGTACCTTATGGTTAATATTAAATGTGTTGAACCAAGTACTCTATTCATGTCAATTGTTTCCATACTTGTTGAGCAACTTCTACTTATTCCAGATCTATACCTCATTGTGATTGCTGTTAGGTGATGACTAAACACCTTCAGAATCACGTATTATATCTAACTATGATTCAACTTATCTTATATGTTGTTAGACAATTAGCTTCACCTTATCTTATATGTTGTAAGACAATTATGGCATGTCGGAAACCTGATGGCCAGTAAATAAAGCATGACTGATGCATTTTAGTGTTCTGTTGTAAAAATGCTGACCACCTAGGTCTTCAATTTTTTTTCTCTTTTGGCAATGAAAAAGAACAGCTTTTTGTGCCTGAAATATGGTGCTTTTCTCTTTTCTATCTTAACGTATTTTCTTTTTCATACATCTCCTTGTGGCATGTTTTCTTTTACAAATTTATATTCTTTAAATATTTAATTTAAGCTGCTTGATGTGTTCTTCAGATTAGTTTCCAAGAGTTTAAAAACAAGCTACTTGAACCTGGTCTGGTGGATAAAATTGTTGTTTCAAACAGATCAGTTGCCAAAGTGTATGTGAAAAACACCCCACGCAATGCAAATGAAACCGATGATGAGTTTAAACAGGTGCCTGTCAATGCTAACTCTACCAGAAGAAATATAAGCCAGTACAAGTTCTATTTTAACATAGGAAGTGTTGAATCTTTTGAGGAGAAACTGGAGGAAGCCCAGGAAGCTCTAGGGATAGATCCTCATGATTATATTCCGATAACTTATGCCAGTGAAGTAAACTGGTTTCAAGAATTGATGAGGTTTGCACCAACAGCCTTGATTTTTGGAGTCCTCTGGTTCATGGGGCGAAGAATGCAGGGTGGAATTGGTATTGGAGGTCCAGGTGGTCGAGGTGGCCGTAATATATTTAATATAGGAAAAGCAACTATTATGAAGATGGATAAGAATGCTAAAGAGAAGGTTAGCGACAGCTATACATTTGCTTTTTTATTATTATGCTGCTGCTATCTTATTTGATTGCATTAAAGTAACCAAATTAAATATATAAGAAGGTCATTGACATAACAAACACCCCTGATGTTTTATTTGATGATTCAGGTATTCTTTAAAGATGTAGCTGGCTGTGATGAGGCAAAGCAAGAAATCATGGAGTTTGTTCACTTCCTCAAGAATCCAAAGAAGTATGAGGATTTGGGGGCAAAAATTCCAAAAGGGGCGCTACTCGTTGGCCCTCCTGGCACAGGGAAGACACTTCTTGCGAAGGCAACTGCTGGTGAATCAGGTGTGCCTTTCCTCAGTATGTCTGGGTCAGACTTTATGGAAATGTTTGTTGGAGTAGGGCCATCCCGAGTTCGGAGCTTATTTCAAGAAGCAAGACAATGTGCACCTAGTATCATATTTATTGATGAGATAGATGCAATTGGTCGAGCAAGGGGTCGTGGAGGTTTTTCTGGTGGCAATGATGAGCGTGAGAGCACTCTCAATCAACTGCTTGTTGAGATGGATGGATTTGGAACAACCACTGGAGTTGTTGTACTTGCTGGCACAAATAGGCCTGATATATTAGACAAAGCTCTGTTGAGACCTGGTCGATTTGATCGTCAAATAACGATTGATAAACCTGATATCAAAGGTCGTGACCAGATTTTTCAAATCTATTTGAAAAAGCTGAAACTTGATACTGAACCATCATATTACTCTCAGAGACTTGCTGCACTCACTCCTGGATTTGCTGGAGCTGACATTGCAAATGTTTGTAATGAAGCTGCTTTAATTGCAGCAAGAAATGAGAGTGCAGAGATAACTATGGAACATTTTGAGGCTGCCATAGACAGGGTCATCGGTGGTTTGGAAAAGAAAAACAAGGTATCTCGGTTCTCATATGTTTTGATTTGAATAATGCTTAAATACAACTTATTGGTACAAACTAATTCATACAAACGTCTACGTAATACTTTTGTCTTATTGTTAAGTCATTCACTTTTATTAGTTTAATTTATTTTTAATTTTCATTCATTCATTCACTTTATTGCTGGACCAGCTTCTAAAATTTAGTTTGTACGTTTAATATTATTCTTTCCTTTACACTTATGCCCTTCTTCAGATTATTGTGGATGAAAGTGTTTTCAAATATCCTAAAGCCCTTTCCCTTGTTTTCTTGTGCTTGGTTGAAATCGAGAAAAGCACTTGCTGGGAGCAGAATATTACTTGAAATGTTACCAGAGTTGATGCTTCTTAAGAAGCATTGTCAGGTGCTTTGGCAATAGTGCTTTTCTACAGAAGTACTTAAAGACACTCTTTTGGGCACATTGTTTTTGTTTTCACCTTTACTCCTGATGGTATATTGATAACTGAGTCTTGAAATATATTTTACTCTTATTTGTGAATGTTGAATGCTTATATGTTCTGTTTATGTCGTCGTTTATTTTGAGGATAGAGTTGAGTGGTGTTAGAAACTTCTGTTGGACACTAGAGACTTTGCCTTATTCAGTTATTAATCTTTCTGAAACTCTGGAATGTAAATCTTTGTCTGTTTCTGCATCAGGTTATAAGCAAGCTGGAAAGGCGGACTGTTGCTTACCATGAATCAGGTCACGCTGTTGCTGGTTGGTTCTTGGAGCATGCAGAACCTTTGTTGAAGGTGACAATTGTTCCTCGTGGTACTGCAGCTCTTGGGTTTGCCCAGTATGTGCCCAATGAAAACCTTCTGATGACTAAAGAGCAGCTGTTTGATATGACTTGCATGACACTGGGTGGTCGAGCAGCTGAGCAGGTGAATTTACTGTCCTCTTCAACACCCTCTCCTTACATCTCTTGTCTTTCTATATCTTCCTGGCTCAGTGAAAATTCAGAACTGTCAAGAAATGAGAAATTGCATTTACGTTATGATAAATCATGAAATGCATGTTAAATTTTGCTGAAGGCTCAGGTTCAGGCTCTGACATTTTATGCAACCATTTCAATAAGCTTGTTCCACATTTTAGGCACTTGCATAATTCATTATCTCTAAATGCTGTTTTTTTAGTTCTAAACAGTTTCCATGGTTTCTCCTCTTCCCATGTTTTATTTTTTCTTGTTCTAATATTACCATTCTTGAATAGTTGAAATTTTGGTGACTCTTGGAGAAAAACATCAGATGATCTTGGCTCTATCATTTATCAGTCAGAAAATCTAGATCATAAGTCTGGGCCCTCATCGTGAGGCACTGAACATTTGATCTTTATCTTGTATCTCACTTTCACTGTTCAATAAATCGCCTGTCGTAGTGGCAATATGTTACCCTCTAAAACTTCACACGCACATACACACAGAAACTGAAAAAACAAAAAAAAAAAGCATGTTTCTCTTCTTGATAGTTGTTTTCTAGAAGCCGAAAGGTCATTAGCACACAGTTAACTCATGGATGCCATTTAGATGTATGAAAGAAAAGTTGGCATGTTTGGTGGTTGATATTTAGTTCTTGAACAGCAATTATGGAAACCCACCTTTTTGTTTTGCATGTTAACATACTTGGATGGCTACTGATTTTCTTAACATGTTATTTTCTTTTGAGCAGGTATTGTTAGGGAAGATATCTACTGGAGCTCAGAATGACTTGGAGAAAGTGACGAAGATGACATATGCCCAAGTGGCAGTGTATGGTTTCAGTGACAAGGTGGGTCTTCTTTCCTTCCCTCAAAGAGATGATACATTTGAGATGACAAAGCCGTACAGCAGCAAGACGGGTGCTATTATTGATAATGAAGTTAGAGAATGTGTGGCTAAGGCATATGAACATACTGTTCAACTGATACAGACGCACAAGGAGCAAGTGGCAAAGATTGCAGAATTATTGCTAGAGAAAGAGGTTCTACATCAAGATGACTTGGTTCGAGTATTAGGAGAACGGCCATTTAAGCCAAGCGAGCCCACCAATTATGACAGGTTTAAGCAAGGTTTTATTGAAGAAGACAAGGGCTCTAAAGAGACAAAAGAGAGTGAGACGGTGGAAGATGACAGTTCACCCTCCTTGGAGCCTGGGGTCGCGCCTGCTTAGCATTTGATTAATTAGGTTGATGTTTTTGTACATGAAAGTTGATCGACTGAATAGGGTAATGGTTTTGTATATGAGCTTTTGGTAGCTTTGCTTAACTTCTTCAATTCAAGTGACTAGAATGTAAAATACACTGAATTACATAAGATGAAAAATTCTGACTATTGTGCAAAAATATTCTACCCATTGCATAAAGCTAGTATGAAAGCATTATGCAGGATTTATCAAAGTATTGGCAGATAACATTCAAAATTCATTTGTTAGGAAGCAAAATAAACAACAGGGATTTATTCAAAGCAAAATTTGAATGTTAATTATTAATTATTTAATGAAATAAGAAAACAAGTCAAAGTGGTTTACTTCAAGCCAAAAGTTATAGACCAAAAGATGACAGCGGATGCATAAAAATTCAAAATTCTAGAAAGTCAATGAACTGATTTAGTAAATAAAATAGAAAAACAAAAATAAATTAAATAAATAGATTGTGATCTCATAATTATAAGACGTTTAAAAGTTGTAAAAACATATTTGAAGTTTTCGACATAAATAATCCGTTTTAGAAATTTTCACGTATAATATATTTTTAAAATTTTAAAATATCAATAATAAAGTTAAAAAAAAAAAAATGGTAGGGCTTGAATAACAACACTCTAAGGGTGCATTTGGGTGGGGTAATCCTCTATTGTTCTAGTAATGTCAGGGTAAATAATAAAAGATTTCGATAATCTTCTAATTCTAATAGTAGTTACTGTAGATTATATAGGGATAATCTGAATACCACTCATTTCTTAAGTATTATAATATTACATGATAATTTTAATTTTGTTAAATTTGACCCTTAATTAATAATATACTAATAATATTAAAAAAGAAGGGCGGCTTCTCTTAGAATTCTTTTATTACTCACAATCAAACATATTAGTTATTTATACCCACCAATTCATTCTAATCTAACTAAATATATTTAATATAACATTTTTAGTAATCTTGAAGGTAATCTATCTTTCCATTAATATAATATTCCCAGTAATACAACATTCTCTGAACCCAACGTCCCCTATTTTATACCCGAATATTTCGATTTTCGGTGGGGTAACAAAATTTAAAAAGGAAGAACAACATTTTCCCACCCAAGGTTTGATGAAACGACACTTTTCCACCCGTCAAGTTTCAAAATAACACTTTCTCACTCTTCGTTAGGTTCTGTTAGTGTTTTCTATTAATATTTGACTAAAAAGACAAAAATACCCTTAAATAGTTTATTTCTTAATTATTTTATTATAAATTAAAATTTAGTTAAGTCAAAGACTTTATTCGATTATTTATTAGTCCAAATGTAAAGATACATTTTTTTCTTTGTTTATTTAATTAATTAGAAATATTGATTTTTTATGTTAATTAGTAAAAATGAAAAACAGTATAAATAATAGTGATGAGATATTGATGACATTATAAATAAATATTAAGATTATTTAACTTTAAACAATTTTATAGTATTATTCCTAACTTTTTAAGGGAGGTTAACTATTTTTTTTTTTAATATTTGACTTTTTGGCTAATTAAAAAATTATAAAGTAAAATATTTAAGGGTATTTTTATATTTTCAGTAAAATATTAAACGAAAACTATAACAGAATCTAATGAAGGATAAAAAATGTTATTTTGAAACTTGATGGATAAGAAAGTGTTGTTTCGTCAAACCTTAGGGGGGAAAATGTCGTTCACCCTTTAAAAAAACCTAGGCTTTTCCTTGTTCCGGGCTTAGAGGGTTCAAATACACCTCAGTCCTAGCCCGGCAAAACGCGCCCGGCCCAGATTTTCTTGATAGTTGTTTTTCTGGAAGCAAAATAACCTCTGTGCAGATATTTCTTCTCTTATCTGTTTATTTGTCAGATTTCCTCAACTTGTGGCTGCCATTGTATGGCCCTATTTTAATGTTGGTTTGATGAATGGTATTTGATGTGATAATTCAATTCAGGCAATGATCTATTGATGAATTTTTTTTTGCCCATCTTGTGTTTTGCCTATTAACATTACTTTCTTTGGACTGCAACTCCTGATTTTTTTTTTCTGATGAAATCTCTATTGACTCATTATTTTAGACTGCTATTAGTTTGATACATTTGAGACGATGAGGCCCTACAGCAGCAAGACTAGTGCAATTATTGAAAACTTAACATAATGAATGATTGGCCTAACTATAATGTAGAGCTGGTGCAGAAGCTGAAAGAAAGAGTAAGTGGCTCAGATTGCGGAGTTGTTGCTTGAGAATGAGGCTCTACATCGACCTGAGTTGATTCGATTGTCGAAGGACAAGCATTCAAGCCACTAATTATGACAGGTTTAAGCAAGGATTTTGTAGAAGAAGATAAAAGAGTTCTAATAAAGAGACAAGAATTGGTGGGACTGGAGAAGATGACAATTCATTCATCACCCTTTGAGCACAATGTTGTATTGACATAGCGGTTACTTAACCTTCTATGTAAAAAAAATTTCACCATTATTCTGCTTTGGTTTGGTGATCTTTTATGAGATGAATTCGGAACTCAAAATCACCCCAATACATAAAAAGTTGATATGAACCATTGATTCAGGATAAGCAAAACTTTTGGTTGGCTTTTCATAAAAAAGATTTTATTGTTTATGCTTTTCTCCCCAATCATGCATTGCATCTTAAAGAAATTATTGCAAAACGACAAACATACCAGTAAATGGATGACAGTAATTTATAACATATTTGATAAAGCAATGGATGAACTGCATCCACATGCTGTTTGGTTTCTCCAGAATCACATCTCATGTTTGTTGTTGTTGTTGTGATGTTTCAGTTTTCAAACAACTGGCATATAAACCTCACTTCAGACTCCCTGGAAAGGTCTAAAGTAGTACTTGAAACAAATTTGTGTGGTAACATTCTCATTCCAAGTTCTTTCAGATAATGAAAGCCCTTTGTTTTCTTCTCCAAAACACAACAAATGCACTTAAGTTTTTAACATTTTTTTTTGTAGTAGCTGGATTGTTTTTGGAGGCTGAAAATGAAGTATCTCCAAGTGGAAAAAAGATGTGTCAATGTAAAATCTCTTAATCAATATCAACCAGTAATCTGTTTCAACCACATAAAACTTATAATTATGATGATGAAGAAGAAGAAGAAGAACACTATCCGCTTAGTAAATTGCCAGATAAACATATTGTCAGCCACGAATAAGCATCAGACAGATGTGACAACATGGGGCGGTTACTTTTAAAATGAAAGGTGATGTAAAAGTGAACGAAATGGAAAGATGCGAAAACCAAAATAACAGAAAAACACATAAATCACAAACAGTAAAACAAAAGAAAAGAAAGGCATGATTTATGCTGGTTCACCTAATTTAACAAACTACGTTCACAACAGATCAATATTATTTCAATTTTATCTCACCTTTCTCGTCTCCAATGAAGTAATTTGTCATATGCGGGACACCAAATGCATCTGCGTGATGCTGAAGTAGTCGACAAGTCCAACAAAGAGTGCATTCTATGTTGAGCTCTCATTCAATTGGCTAGATGAACTTCCTATACACAATGTTCTTTGTGTTCAGATAAAATTTCATTAGTCTGTGGACTGATAATAATAATGAAGACAGTGGGTAGCCTTGAAGTCATACTATACAAATTATTATTGCTTTTGATGAGTATAAAAGCCTACTCATAATTCCAAATATAATGGCCTCCTTGTTGAAAAGCCAACAGATTTGGTAACTCTCCAATAATTCATCACCAATCATATGTGGGGATTTTGGCCGGTTCAATATATATTTATATATATATATCTATGTTTCTAAATCTAGCATATTGTCCAAGAGATAATGATGGTGTTGGAGAAGAATTTGAGCGGCTTGGAACAGAGAGATCCTGTTTCACATTATTTTCTTTGCGGCTGTTTAGAAAATCATGCTACCAATAACCCAACAATTCAATTTTTTTTCTTTAATTATTCAACCAAACCAACCTTCAAAGATACCTACTTTTCTTAATCCCAATTGGTGAAGTAAATTAGTGGGTATTGTCCTCTTTCAATGTGTCTTTTATTCAAGAGATACTTGTATTTGTTTAATCTAATTAACAATTTTATACTTAAACACCCACACAGTTGAATACTAAATTAGCATAAAGTACAGAATGTGTGCATAATTTATTGATATAAAACAATGTAAAAAGAAACAGACCTTAATATTTATTTAGTCCTTGTATGCAAAGTCACACGTCATATATTGTTGTACTTTTCTTAACATAAAGCTTTTCTGTTGAAGAACTCACAGAAACCAGGTTCTGCAAACAATGGTGGAAGAAGGCTATTTGTGTACGTTCATTCTAAATATTGAAACAGTCAAAATTTGTATAAGAGTTTCGGTTCAAAATGGTTTACAGGGTATTTAACGTTACCTAATATCAGAAACAAACAACTGATAGAGTAGATGAATCAAATGTTATTTATGGAGAAAAACTACTTTGTTATCTTGTGGGCTGCATTATTGCACTTTCACTGGCAGAACTACCAGAATTTGAACTTAAGGCCAAATCATCCTTCAATATCAAAATCAAAAGTTCATACCTTTAGGCAGATATTTTTGCAAGTGATCTCATCATTGGCAATGCTTAGTATTTGTATTTATCAATCAATCTAGAGATTACTTGGACTTTCTGCAGATGTGTAACAAATTATAAAAATGGAATCAAACCGCCTGGAATCTAATTCCGCAATACGTCTAATACAAAATCTGATATCTTCTGGACTAGCTATGATCATCCTCGAAGTAAAATATTAACCAAAATGTGAATTTCTTACGTTCTAATGATTGATTGATTAATCAGCTCTTCTGCGAACGCCGTTGCTGTAGCTTTCCCAGTTCAACCCACCTCACCAACCGGAATCTAAGAGCCTAATAACAGCATAGTTTGTGTAAACAAATCATAGTTTAAACATTATAATAATATTAGGGGTCATAGTCATAAACCGACCCAGCTGTGGTTGAAATTATTGAGAGGAAAGAGTTAGAAATGGCCCTTTCAAAAGAACAAGTCTACCACCACTATAATATTTTTTCTCAAATACGTAACTATCTTTGCCTATAATTTAAGGATTTTATGAATGAGAAAGAATGACTAAACAAGGGTCTCCTCCATTTCCCTTTTCAGCCGTTTTCATCTACTTCTCTTGTACTTTTCCTTGCTCTGTAATCTCAGGCCTCCAATTATTTCCTCACCATAATATAAAACATGGAGCTCTGTCTTGGTCTGTATTAGGTTAGTCATTTTCAATAACAAGTATGCCCGGAGACTCAGGCTCCAATTTTTTCTTATGTATACTTTCATAAAATATAGTTTAAAAAATCAATTAACCCAACTTAGGAAACGGTTTAGTGTTGTCATGCATCATATATTCTATTGTGGGAAGCAATTAATATCATAATCTTATCAGGTTCAGAGTCTGCAAAAAATTTATAATCAAATACAATACACACATTTCTTCAGCAGTACGTGGATACGTGTGCTCTAAGAATCCATCAATTATTGATCTTAATACAGATAATATCAAACCATTTTAATCATCTATAATTATAAGACAGACAGACAGACGTAAGTTTTTGTCTTTCTTCCTCCCCTCAATAATAGAGCTCTTAAAGTGCTCAAGAAATTCACACATATTATCCTGTAAAAGTAGTTCAATGTATACGTCAAATGTGCAAAAGAAAGTGTTATATAGCGGCAAACCCATCTGTAAAATATCAGTATATTTTAACAGGAACAGCTTCTGCATGTTTCATGTGCCCAAAAGTGTCCAGATTTATTAGGTGTGGTCCTGGAACCAAAGTTGAGCATCTTCCCTTCTTTGACCAATATGCCTGTACTTCAATTTACCTAATTTTTTTTTAATCAAAGATAGGATCTGAATTCTGAAATATTGGATTCCTTCTCATCCCCTTTTTCTGTACAACTTGTTTACACTTCACTTACAACGAACAAAACCAATTAAAGAAGTAAGATATCCAATAACATTCATCCCTTATTATTCGCACAACTAAATAATTCTGATCCATCAAAATGGCATCTTTCTGGGAAGTTCCGGATAAGTTCAGATCAAACCAGAAAGGTAGATTTGAAGGGTAAATTTACAGTGACCAATTGACCATCTATTCATCAAAAGATTTTCCATAAATTCCAGGAAATGTTGGATTTTCAAATAAGGTAAGTCATCTAATCTTTGGTCAAAAGTTGGGAATGTCTCAGAAATATGCCATTTACTGACAAAACTGGAAATTTTTTCAGAGAAAGAGAGTCCACGAAGTACAACCTTCATTTTTTAAAATTTGTTTTTTGAAAACGTTTGGTTCATGGTTGCTTCCATTTACGTTCTCAACCACTTATAAAATTGATTTTTTTATTACAATAAAGAAAACTACTATTTAGCGTGTCAATATTAAAATAATAATTTAATTTAAAATAATTGGAAACTACTCAACGGTTTGCCTATATAAACCCTCGTCTGCCTCCATTCTTCTTCCCCCTCTCCTCTCCTTCTTCCTCTACATCTTTGTAGTACTTTCTCTCTGTCTCTTTCTCCACAACTCCTTTTCATTGATCAAGTATCATAACCTTGGTGGGTTATCTCACTCAACCTTGTAGTTGATAAAATTTCTTTCATGTTTTATTTGTTTTCATCTTTGTTATTCTCACAAGTTTCTAAAGCTTTTGAGCATTTACGAGTTCTTAAAGATGAAAATGTTTATCGGGTTGAAGGCTTCGGTTTAGGAACAAAAGATGAACTTTTGAAGTTAATTTGGTTATAAAAATGCTTTCTTTTTTAAAGAACCTTTCTGGGAAATCTTGACTATCATTATTTAAGTCACATCCATAGCATTTCAGATTAGATTATCAGTACTTTTATTAGTTTTTGAACTCTGGATTCTTAAAGAGAGGCACTACATAAAGGTCTCTGTATTTTGCTTTAATTTTATATAGTTTAATGGCCTTAATACTTTTCTCTGTTTTATTTTATTGAAAGCTAATTTTCTTATAATTAAGTTGGACTTTTGAGTTTCAGATATATGGCAACGGATTTATTTATAGCCCTTAAGGTCACTGGTCTATCTGTTCTTTAGTTTTATTTGTTGTTGTGGTTGAGATTTGTCCACACATGAACTTAAATAACTTGTCCCAACTACTTGGGATTTCGGTCTTAGATTGTCCACATATTTAGACCTTCACGTCTCTTCTTGTGATGCCAACTCTGAGTCATATTTGCCTTTAATTAATTTTACAGACCATGAAAAAACATTATAGTTTGAGAATTAAAGTAAATTTTGATGTTGACTTGGGTGGTTTCAAGCTGTGTTGGCGTGTGGTGCTAACATTCTTTAATCGTTTGATGAAGGTTTTCTGAATCAACATGGAGTATGAAGGCCGCTATGGATTGACCCAGAGGACAAAATATGATTGCCTTCTGTTTGGTAAACTCTTTTATACAACAACACATTGGACTAGAAACTCAATATCTTGCAGGGAGAAAATAAATACTAAACTTTTTATTTATATTTGCAGATCTAGATGACACTCTTTATCCATATAGTTCTGGTATTGCAGCAGCAACCGGAAAGAATATCCAAGGTAATTATTCCTGGGCTGTTATTTTTCTGTGCTACAGTTTTATAATACTAAGATAAGCGGCTTTTTGGCAGATTTTATGGTTGAAAAACTTGGCATTGATAGGAGTAAAATTACTGAGTTGGGGAACCTGCTGTATAAGCATTATGGAACAACAATGGCTGGCCTCAGGGTATGCCTTCGATTTATATTCCAACTCCCTTTTGTTTTTAAAGGTCAAAACAGGAGCTTATTGATTGATGGGATTATTCTGTGCAGGCAATTGGCTATGACTTTGACTATAATGAGTACCACAGGTATTTTTTCTTTACAGTTTTACAAAAGGGTATTAAATTTTCCAAAGTTTGTCAGCATTTGGTAATTCTGATAAACATTTTACTTTTATTTGCAACAGCTTTGTTCATGGGAGATTGCCTTATGAGAACATAAAACCAGATCCTGTACTTAGGAGTCTTCTGTTGAGCCTTCCTATTAGGAAAATTGTAAGCATTTTTATTAACAAATTAGAAAAGCCATTACTTGTCATGTAATTGATCTAACAATCTGTTTAATTCCTGTGAAATAGATCTTCACCAATGCCGACAAGGACCACGCTGTTAAAGCTCTAAACAGGCTTGGATTGGAGGACTGTTTTGAAGGAATTATCTGCTTTGAAACTCTGAATCCCACTCACAAGAGCAATGTTTCTGATGATGAGGATGACATTGCTTTTGTGGGATCAACTGCTACTGCCACCACAGCTAGTACTAATGGCTCTGGAATTTTTGACATCGTTGGGCATTTTGCACAACCCAACCCAAGCATGGTGGGATTACCAAAGACACCCATTGTATGCAAACCATCTGAGTTTGCCATTGAACAAGCCCTCAAGATCGCCAACATCAACCCTCAGAGAACAGTAAGATATATATGAATGATCTTTTAACATTTACTTCTTATGTCTGATGAATCAAATTGTTATTCCCGTTTGCTAATAATTTCATCATTTGTATATTGTTATATCAGCTGTTCTTCGAAGATAGCGTCCGCAACATACAGGCTGGCAAGCGTGTGGGGCTTCACACAGTGAGGGTAAAGTCTTTGAAATCTGTACCATGTAGTACTCCTTGATGGATATTCCATTCTTTGTTAATTAACCATCTAATTTGATGCCATGGTTATTTTATAATGTGTCCAGATTGGAAGTTCCCAGAGAGTTAAAGGAGCAGACTATGCATTGGAGAGCATTCACTACATGAAGGAAGCAATACCAGAGCTCTGGGAGGCCGATATGAAATCAGAAGTTGGTTACTCTGGCAAGGTTCCTGTGGAGACATCAGTGACAGCTTAGATTCATGGTATTAGCATAAAAAAAAAAGAAAAAAAAAAAATCAACCATGATCTGGGGTCTATATTGTCCCCGTTCCCTACCATATGATCAAATGATGTACATGTTTTGTTCAGATCATTAATGAAAAAAAGAAGAAATAATTCCAACCCTTTTGGCCTTAGTTCAATGTTCATATAAAAAGCAATGTTTATCACCTGCTCATTATTTTGGATGGCTTTATCAGTGATGTCACAATCCATTCTACAATCATAAATAAATTTCTGGAAGGCCGTGCTAATCACGATGTTAATATAAAATATACACAATTAGGTATAATTCAATTTCAATCCAATATCATATCATGGAGACATAGTATATAATATATTCCAGATCTATCTGCAGATTTGATGCATGAAAATAGTGCTGGAACATGACTTATTTATTAATCTATGAAGCTCAGCAAGAAGATAGACATAAATATATAAGAGTAAATTATACATATTAGGTGAACGTGAAGCAAACTACTTAGGCTTTTCAGTCCCTAGTCCCTACCATTTGCATCACAATTCATGTAGGATGGCCCAATGGATTGCTGATTGCATGCAGCCAAAAGATATATGGGTTGACAGCAAGCAAGCTAGCTCATTTATGAAAGCATCATTAGTTTCTTCTCTTTCTGCAACTCTGGCAATGGTTCTGAATGTCCATAGATATGATAAGTCAAGTTAGAAGGTACAACAACAGTACCAATAATGCACTCTTCGGGAATTGTTTCACCCACCAAATTCTGCACATCTTTAGATACAGACATGCAGCTGGCTGTGGCCTGTGGCCATGGTGACTTTACTGAGATATTGATTTATTATCTACTTTCTTTGTTTCATTAGCTGTAAGAGATCATCCCGTTTAAAATATCTGATCATGTGAATTGACTAATTTTGGAGATGGGTTTGATTTTTTATTTTTTTATGATTGGTGTTATCCGGTTAGCTTATACGTACCTCAATTAATCTTGTGAATTGACTAATTTTAGAGATGGGTTTGATTTCTTTTCTATAATCAGAAGTGTCCGGGTTAGCTTACGTGCATCTCAACTAATCTCTCGGAACTTTGAAACTAGCGACCAGATAAGAGCTCTAATGGTCACCCCTATTAGCAATCTCGATCTTGAACTGATGATCTTTTGAATAATACACCCAAGAGTCTATATCGAACCACTCCGTCATCCAGAGGTTGATTGATGGATTTGATTTAATTTCTTAGTGTAATGCTATAAATCAAATTGTCCATTTCTTAATGACTTGTGGGTTTTGGATTCCTAAAATTTCATCCTTTGCTTGAGGAAATGTTAAATGATAAATAATTAAAAATTAGAAATTTTAATTGTTGAGTATGAAGTGAGGAAACTCATTCTATGTAGGGACAATAAAACAATGTGGCATTCTCAACCTAACCTAAGACCAAGAGTTAGTCAATTTCTAATCATTTGAGATGTTTTAATGTTGTTAAAGAATTAAAATAAATAACTAAAACCCCTTAAAAGTCATCAATGGAGTTTGAGTCAGAGGATCATTCTGTAATAATATTACACAAAGATTTGAATAATTGAAGGGAAAATTTTATGGGTAAGATTTCATCTATGTTGAGAATTAAAGGAGATTTAGACCAACTAGAATTCATGATATCACCAGTGAATTAAAAGCTCATGATAATTATCAAATTACTTAATTTTTCTCCTCAACGATACAAACCAAAAGTAGACAGAAGTATTGTTTGATCTTCTTTTGAAGAGTTCTTTATTCGTTTCTTTCTCTTTTTCTTTGGTTTTTTTTTTTTTTTTTCTAAGTTTTTTTATTTTAGAAATCTATTACAAATTACATCGTTTAATCAGAAAAATGGTCATAAAACAAAACTTAAATCAAATGAGGTGTTTATATTAGCTTTTTTTGTTTTGTGTGTTATTTTACATCTATCTAAGATAGAGGATGGGGGCTAAAAATAAAAATAATGGGGCTTAAAAAAATCACTTCCTTGAACAAAACCAAGCAAATAGATTTTCAGCATCTTCCCTGGTTTCCAATCCATCTAATGATCCAAAGACAATTTTGCTTTATGGGCCCAGCTCAATCTGAAACTATGGGCTGAACTCTGAAGTCAATGTCTAAGTCTAATGGGTATTAGATAGGGTTATTTACAAATTTCCTCTTCAAGGTTCGAAGAAAATTACTGTACCCAAAAGTTTTAGAAAGTAACAAATGCACCCAAAAAATTGACTGTTTTACAATATAAAAATTAGGGTTTTTTTTAATAAATAATAATATTTTGGAGGGTTTTCAGTAAATAACCAATAATTTATATCCTATACCCGGAGTTGTTGCTTGAGAGATGAGGCTCTACATCGACCTGAGTTGATTCGATTGTCGAAGGACAAGCATTCAAGCCACTAATTATGACAGGTTTAAGCAAGGATTTTGTAGAAGAAGATAAAGAGTTCTAATAAAGAGACAAGAATTGGTGGGACTGGAGAAGATGACAATTCATTCACACCCTTTGAGCACAATGTTGTATTGACTAGCGGTTATTAACCTTCTATGTAAAAAAAATTTCACCATTATTCTGCTTGGTTTGGTGATCTTTTATGAGATGAATTCGGAACTCAAAATCACCCCAATACATAAAAAGTTGAATGAACCATTGATTCAGGATAAGCAAAAATTTTGGTTGGCTTTTCATAAAAAAGATTTATGTTTATGCTTTTCTCCCCAAATGCATTGCATCTTAAAGAAATATTGCAAAACGACAAACATACCAGTAAATGGATGACAGTAATTTATAACAATTTGATAAAGCAATGGATGAACTGCATCCACATGCTGTTTGGTTTCTCCAGAATCACATCTCATGTTTGTTGTTGTTGTTGTGATGTTTCAGTTTTCAAACAACTGGGATAAAAACTCACTTCAGACTCCCTGAAGGTCTAAAGTAGTACTTGAAACAAATTGTGTGGTAACATTCTCATTCCAAGTTCTTCAGATAATGAAAGCCTTTGTTTCTTCTCCAAAACACAACAAATGCACTTAAGTTTTTACATTTTTTTTTTGTAGTAGCTGGATTGTTTTTGGAGGCTGAAAATGAAGTATCTCCAAGTGGAAAAAAGATGTGTCAATGTAAAATCTCTTAATCATATCAACCAGTAATCGTTTCAACCACATAAAACTTATAATTATGATGATGAGAAGAAGAAGAGAACACTATCCGCTTAGTAAATTGCCAGTAAACATTGTCAGCCACGAATAAGCATAGAAAGATGTGACAACATGGGGCGGTACTTTTAAAATGAAGGTGATGTAAAAGTGAACGAAATGGAAAGATGCGAAAACCAAATAAAAGAAAAAACACATAATCACAAACAGTAAAACAAAAGAAAAGAAAGGCAGATTTATGTGGTTACCTAATTAACAGGTTACGCCAGTAGAGTCAATGTTATTTCAAATACCTCACATCTTTCGTTTACAATAAAGTAATTTATCATTATTTGTATCATTCGTTACAAAAGAAAAGTGTATTATATACTAAGTTAAAAGACTAAAACCTAGTATTACAAAGATCTCTATTCCTAAGCCAAAACTTAATAAGGAATTAATAACTTAAAGAAATTTTTCAGAATTATATATGGAAAAGCCCAAACCGCCTACGGACAGCAGGACCCCAAATGCGTCTGCGGACCTATAATATTGAAGTAGTCGAGTCCAACAAGAGTGCATTCTATGTTGAGCACAAAGTTCTTTGTGCCAGGAAAAATTTCATAGTCTGTGGACTGATAATAATAATGAAGACACCTGGAAGCATACTATACAAATTATTATTGCTTTTGATGAGTATAAAAGCCTACTCATAATCCAAATATAATGGCCTCCTTGTTGAAAAGCCAACAGATTTGGTAACTCTCCAATAATTCATCACCATCATATGTGGGGATTTTGCGGGTTCAATATAATTTAATAATATATATATCTATGTTGTAAATCTAGCATATTGTCAAGAGATAATGATGGTGTTGAGAAGAATTTGAGCGGCTTGGAACAGAGAGATCCTGTTTCACATTATTTCTTTGCGGCTGTTAAAAATCATGCTACCAATAACCCAACAATTCAATTTTTTTTCTTTAATTATACACCAAACCAACCTTCAAAGATAATACTTTTCTTAATCCCAATTGGTGAAGTAAATTAGTGGGTATTGTCCTCTTTCAATGTGTCTTTTATTCAACAGATACTGTATTTGTTAATCCAAGTAACAATTTTATACTTAACATCACCACAGTTGAATACTAAATAGCATTACAGAAAGGCATAAAGTACAGAATGTGTGCATAATTTATTATATAAAACAATGTAAAAAGAAACAGACCTTAATATTTATTTAGTCCTTGTATGCAAAGTCACACATATATTGTTGTACTTTTCTTAACATAAAGCTTTTCTGTTGAAGAACTCACAGAAACCAGGTTCTGCAAAAAATGGTGGAAGAAGGCTATTTGTGTACGTTCATTCTAATATTGAAACAGTCAAAATTGTTAAGAGTTTCGGTTCAAAATGGTTTACAGGGTATTTAACGTTACCATATCAGAACAAACAACTGATAGAGTAGATGAATCAAATGTTATTTATGGAGAAAACTACTTTGTTATCTTGTGGGTGCATTATTGCACTTTACTGGCAGAACTACCAGAATTTGAACTTAAGGCCAAATCATCCTTCAATATCAAAATCAAAAGTTCATACCTTTGGGCAGATATTTTGCAAGTGATCTCATCATTGGCAATGCTTAGTATTTGTATTTATCAATCAATCTAGAGATTACTTGGACTTTCTGCAGATGTGTAACAAATTATAAAAATGGAATCAAACCGCCTGGAATCTAATTCCGCAATACGTCTAAACAAAATCTGATATCTTCTGGATAGCTAGATCATCCTCGAAGTAAAATATTAACCAAAATGTGAATTTCTTACGTTCTAATGATGATTGATTAATCAGCTCTTCTGCGAACGCCGTTGCT